GGGGACCAGCATTCCCAGACCTTTTCCAGGGCCAGCGTTCCCAGATTCTCAAGGACAGAATTCCCAGGATTCAGGGGAGCAGCATTCCCGGGTTTCAGGACCAGTATTCCCAGATTCCCAGGGACAGCATTCCCAGATTCCCAGAGCTTTTCCAGGACAGCACTCCCAGATTCCCAGAGCTTTTGCGGGGCAGAATTCCCAGATTTCCAGGGCACCATTCCCAGATTCTCAAGGACAGAATTCCCAGGAGTCAGGGGAGCAGCATTCCCAGATTCCCAGGGCAGCATTCCCAGATTCCCAGGGCCAGCATTCCCAGAGCTTTTCCAGGGCCAGCATTCCCAGAGCTTTTCCAGGGCCAGCATTCCCAGATTCTCAAGGACAGAATTCCCATGTTCCAGGGCAGCATTCCCAGATTCCCAGGGCAGCATTCCCAGATTCCTGGGGCTTTCCAGGGGCAGCGGTCCCAGATTTCCAGGGCCAGCATTCCCAGATTCCCAGGATAGAATTCCCAGGTTTCAGGGGAGCAGCATTCCCAGATTCCCAGGGCAGCATTCCCAGATTCTCAAGGACAGCATTCCCAGATTCCCAGGATAGAATTCCCAGGTTTCAGGGGAGCAGTATTCCCAGATTCCCAAGGGCAGCATTCCCAGATTCCCAGAGCTTTTCCAGGCCAGCATTCCCAGATTCTCAAGGACAGAATTCCCAGATACCCAGGGCTTATCCAGGCCAGCATTCCCAGATTCCTGGGGCTTTCCAGGGCCAGCATTCCCAGATTCCCAGGACCAGCATTCCCAGATTCTCAAGGACAGAATTCCCAGATTCCCAGGACAGAATTCCCAGATTCCCAGGGCAGCATTCCCAGGTTTCAGGGGACCAGCATTCCCAGATTCCCAGGGCAGAATTCTCAGATTCCCAGAGCTTTTCCAGGCCAGCATTCCCAGGTTCCCAGGGCAGTGTTCCCAGGTTCCCAAGGACAGAATTCCCAGGATTCAGAGGACCAGAATTCCCAGATTCCTGGGGCTTTCCAGGGGCAGCATTCCCAGATTCTCAAGGACAGAATTCCCAGAGCTTTTCCAGGGCAGAATTCCCAGATTCCCAGAGCAGCATTCCCAGATTCCTGGGGCTTTCCAGGGACAGTGTTCCCAGATTCCAGGACCAGCATTCTCAGATTCCCAGAGCTTTTCCAGGGCAGCATTCCCAGATTCCCAGGGCAGCATTCCCAGATTCCCGGAGCTTTTCCAGGCCAGCATTCCCAGGTTCTCAAGGACAGCATTCCCGGGTTTCAGAGGACCAGCATTCCCAGATTCCCAGGCCAGTATTCCCAGATTCTCAAGGACAGAATTCCCAAATTCCCAGGGACCAGCATTCCCAGATACCCAGGGCAGAATTCCCAGATTCTCAAGGTCAGAATTCCCAGGTTCCAGGGCCAGCATTCCCAGATATCCAGAGCTTTTCCAGGCCAGCATTCCCAGATTCCCAGGGCAGCATTCCCAGATTCCCAGGGCAGCATTCCGAGATTCCCAGAGCTTTTTTGGGGCAGAATTTCCAGATTCCAGGGCCAGCATTCCCAGATACCCAGGACAGAATTCCCGGGTTTCGGGGGACCAGCATTCCCAGATTCCCAGAGCTTTTCTGGGGCAGAATTCCCAGATTCCCAGGGCAGCATTCCCAGATTCTCAAGGACAGCATTCCCAGATTCCCAGAGCTTTTCCGGGACAGAATTCCCAGATTTCCAGGGCAGCATTCCCAGATTTCCAGGGACAGCATTTCCAGATTCTCAGGGACAGAATTCCCAGATACCCAGGACAGAATTCCCAGGTTCCAGGGCCAGCATTCCCAGATTCCCAGGGCAGCATTCCCAGGTTTCAGGGGACCAGCATTCCCAGATTCCCAGGGCAGAATTCTCAGATTCCCAGAGCTTTTCCAGGGCCAGCATTCCCAGATTCCCAGGGCAGAATTCTCAGATTCCCAGAGCTTTTCCAGGGCCAGTATTCCCAGATTCCCAGGGCAGCATTCCCAGGTTTCAGTGGACCAGCATTCCCAGGGCAGCATTCCCAGATTCCCAGAACTTTTCCGGGGCACAATTCCCAGATTCCAGGGCCAGCATTCCCAGATTCTCAATGACAGAATTCCCAGATTCCCAGGGTTTTTCCAGGCCAGCATTCCCAGATACCCAGGACAGAATTCCCGGGTTTCGGGGGACCAGCATTCCCAGATTCCCAGAGCTTTTCCAGGGACAGAATTCCCAGATTCCAGGGCCAGCATTCCCAGATTCTCAAGGACAGCATTCCCAGATTCCCAGAGCTTTTCTGGGGCAGAATTCCCAGATTCCCAGGGCAGCATTTCCAGATACCCAGGGCAGAATTCCCAGGTTCCAGGGCCAGCATTCCCAGATTCTCAAGGACAGAATTCCCAGATTCCCAGAGCTTTTCCGGGGCCAGTATTCCCAGATTCTCAAGGACAGAATTCCCAGATTTCCAGGACTTTTCCAGGCCAGTATTCCCAGATTCCCAGGGCAGCGTTCCCAGATTCCTGGGACAGAATTGCCAGATTCTCAAGGACAGAATTCCCAGATTCCCAGGATAGAATTCCCAGGTTTCAGGGGAGCAGCATTCCCAGATTCTCAAGGGCAGCATTCCCAGATTCCTGGGGCTTTCCAGGGCCAGCATTCCCAGATTCTCAAGGACAGAATTCCCAGAGCTTTTCCAGGCCAGCATTCCCAGGTTCCCAGGGCCAGCATTCCCAGATTCCCAGAACTTTTCCAGGGCAGCATTCCCAGATTCTCAATGACAGAATTCCCAGATTCAAGGGGCAGCGTTCCCAGATCCCCAGGGCCAGCATTCCCAGATTCCTGGGGCTTTCCAGGGGCAGCGTTCCCAGATTCTCAAGGACAGAATTCCCAGATTCCCAGAGCTTTTCCGGGGCCAGTATTCCCAGATTCCCAGGACAGAATTCCCAGATTCCAGGGCCAGCATTCCCAGATTCTCAAGGACAGAATTCCCAGATTCCCAGAGCTTTTCCAGGGCCAGCATTCCCAGATTCCCAGGGCAGCATTTCCAGATTCCTGGGGCTTTCTAGGGCCAGCATTCCCAGATTCCAGGGCCAGCATTCCCAGATTCTCAAGGACAGAATTCTCAGATTCCCAGAGCTTTTCCAGGCCAGTATTCCCAGATTCCCAGGGAAGCATTCCCAGATTCTCAAGGACAGCATTCCCAGATTCCCAGGGCCAGCATTCCCAGATTCCCTGGGACAGCATTCCCAGATTCCCAGAGCTTTTCCGGGCCAGCATTCCCAGATTCTCAAGGTCAGAATTCCCAGAGCTTTTCCAGGCCAGCATTCCCAGGTTCCCAGGGCCAGCATTCCCAGATTCCCAGAGCTTTTCCAGGCCAGCATTCCCAGATCCCCAGGGCCAGCATTCCCAGATTCCCGGGGAAATTCCCGGTGCAGCCCCCGAGATTCCCGGTGCAGCAGCTGAGCCCCAGAGACAGCGGAGAGGGAATGGGGAACCTGAATTTTCTGGGAGTGGGAAATGGGGAGGGAGAGGAAAATGCAGGAATGGGAATGGGAAAAAGAAAATACAGAAAACAGAAAGGGAAAAGAGAGAAAATGCAGAAATGAGAGTGGAAATAAGAAAGGCGGAAATGCAGAAATGGGAAGGGGAAAAGGAAAATGAGAAAGGGGAAAATTCAGAAGTAGGGAAAGGAAAAGGGGAAATGCAGAAATGGGAAAGGGAAAATGCGGAAATGGGAAAAGGAAAGGGGAAAGAGGGAAAAACTGAAGAAATGGGAACGGGAAAGGGGAAAAGAAGGAAAATTCAGAAATGGGAATGGAAACGGGAAAGGGGAAAATGAAAAAACAAAAGAAAGGGAAAACGAAAGGAGGAGGAAGAGGAAGTGGAGGAGGAGGAAGAGGAGCTTCAAGCGGAGCTGGCAGCGGCACCGCAAAGTGGGAAATGGTGACAGGCGGAGGGGGAGAAGCAGAGGGGGAGGAGGAAGAACAAGAGAAGGGAAAAAAGGAGGAAAAGGAGGAAAAAAAAGCGGGAAAAGGACGCGGAAAAGTCTGCCCCGGTCTCGGGCGGCGCCACAGGAAGTGGTGTCCCGGCGTGCACCGCGCGCTGGACTACAGCTCCCGGCATGCCCCGCGCGGAACATGGCCGCGATGCATTGGCGGACTACGGCTCCCGCCATGCTCCGCGCGAACGGCCCGGCTAAGCCATTGCTGGACTACTGCTCCCATCCTGCCCCGCGGCTGCGCGCGGTGCAAGGCTGCGCCTGGGCGGCGCGAGGCATGCTGGGAGCTGTAGTCCGCGCGGCTTGTGGGCGCGCAGAGGAAGGGGCGGCGGGCCGAGCGGGCTTACCGGCGCGTCGTGCTACCTATCGGTGCCTCTTCACCGTGGCAGCGCCTTCAGGCTCGGGGCGCGTGTCAAGGGAGGCGTCTCCGGGAAAAGCTCGAGGAGGGCGCGTGTGCCGCGGCCGCCGTCCGCCGTCTGGCGCTGGCCCACCGGGCCTCCGCCCACCTCGAGATGTCCCCGAGTGCTCGGGACGGTGCGAGCGGCTGAGCGAGATCCTGGGAGTCCCCCGGAACGAGCAAGCGAGCGGGCGACCTTCTCCGGCGGGCAACAGCGGCGGCACCGCCCCGCCCGCGATCGAGGCGCCCGTGGCCCGCGATCCCATTGGCGACAATATCCGTCAATCACCGCCATGCCCGCCTTTCATTGGCTGACACCAACGTCAATCCGCGCAGAGCCCGTGGCCCCGCCCACCGCGGAGGCGCTCGGCTCTCCTATTGGCTGGCGCGGACAAAGACGGGGGGAGCGCCTGTCAATCACAGCGGGGCGTGGCCGGGAGGGCGCGGCCATGGGCGTGGCCACGGCGGAACGCTCCTCCCCCGGAACTCCCGCGCGCTCGGCCTCGTTTCCCGCCCGCTCCCCCGGAGGGGACCCCGTTGTCGGCCGGACCGCGCGGGCGGGAGGCCGGAAGTGGCGGGGCCGCCATGGCGGCGCCCGGAGCGCCCGGGCCCGGCCCGGCCGCCGCCGCCTTTGCCACGGTGCTGATGGCGGCCCGGGCCGAGCTGGCCGCGCCCTGCCGCCTGCTTCCCGCCGCCGCCGCCGGCGCCGCGCTCCGCCTGCAGCTCAGCGTGCAACCGGGAGCCGACGGGCGGCGCCGCTTCCGCCTGGCGCTGCGGCGGGCGGAGGCGGGGGGCGGCGCGGTGAGGGGAAGGGGAGGGGGCGGGGGAGGGGCCCGGGGGGCGCCCCGGGGGTCGGGGGGAGGGGAGGGGGCGGGGAAATGGGGGGGGTGGGGGGCGCGGCCCGAGAGCCCGGAGGGAACGGGGGGGGAACCGGATTTGACCTGGGGCGATCCGGGATTGGGGGCCCGGGATTGTCCCCCCGGGATGGACCCGGGATTGTCACCAAGGGATTGCCACCATGGGACTGTCCCCCGGGATTGGCACCATGGAATTGTCCCCCCGGATTGTCCCTGTGGGATTGTCCCTATGGGTTTGTCCCCGGTAATGTTCCCTGGGATTGTCCCCAGTGATTGTTCCTTTCCCCACCTCCCCCGGGATTGTCCCCCGGGATTGTCTCCCCCCGAGGGGTCAGGGGGTCCCTGGAGGGTCCCGGGCTTTGGGGAGTCCTGGGAGGTTTGGGAAGGGCAGGAACCCTGGGATTGTCCCGTGTCACCCCCAGCCAGGGACAAGGGACAGGGACAGGGACAGTGAGAGGCTCAGGGCACCCCAAAAGTGAGCAGAAAATGGCCAGGGGCACCCTGAGGGTGGTCTGAGGGCACCCAAAGTGTCCTAAGGGTGACCAGGGCACTCAAAGGGGTGACCAGGGGACCCCAGGAGTGATCATGGGTGACCAGGGGACCCCAGGGGTGACCAGGCTCTCCCAGTGGGTCAGGGGGTGACCCGAGCCTGTGGTGACCCCATGGTGACCCCACACCTGTCCCCATCCCTGTCCCCTCCTGTCCCTGTCCCCCATCCCTGTCCCATCCTTGTCCTTGTCCCATCCCTGTCCCCTTCTGTCCCATCCCTGTCCCCATCCCTGTCCCTGTCCCATCCCTGTCTCTGTGTCCCTGTCCCCATCCTTGTCCCATCCCTGTCCCTGTCCCATCTTTTCCCATTCCTGTCCCCATCCCTGTCCCCTCTGTCCCTGTCCCTTCCTGTCCCCATCCCTGTCCCCATCCCTGTCCCCATCCCTGTCCCCTCTGTCCCTGTCCCTTCCTGTCCCCATTCCTGTCCCATCCTTGTTCCTGTCCCCTCCTGTCCGAATCCCTCTCCCTGTCCCCATCCCTCTCCCTGTCCCCTCCTGTCCCTGTCCCCTCTGTCCCTGTCCCTGTCCCCTCCTGTCCCCATCCCCATCCCTGTCCTGTCCCTGTCCCATCCCTGTCCCCTCTGCCCTTGTCCCCTGTTGTCCCCAGCCCCTGGCAGAGTGTGACCTGCGGGACGTTTCCTACCGCGTGTGTGGCCCCGCCAGCCACGAGCTGCAGCTGCCAGCGCTGGGGACACCAGCAGGGACAGCGGGGACAGCGGGGACAGCAGGGACACCAGCAGGGACAGCAGGGACACCATCGGGGACAGTGGCACAGGAGGTGGTGGCACTGAGGTTCCCCGAGGAGCGCGAGGCCCAGCAGTGGTGGACGGTGCTGAGCAGCTCCCTCAGGGAGGCACGGAGAGGTGGGACAGGGACATGGGGACACCAAGGGGACATTGGGGACATTGGGGATACTGGGGGGACATTGGGGGATTGAGGATACTGGGGACATTGGGGTCACTGCGCTGAGCAGCTCCCTCAGGGAGGCACGGAGAGGTGGGGCAGGGATGTGGGGACACTGGGGGGACATTGGGGACACTGGGGACATTGGAGATACTGGGGATATTGGGGACACTGGGACATTGGGGGGATTGGGGATACTGGGGACATTGGGGACACTGGGACATTGGGGGACACGGTGCTGAGCAGCTCCCTCAGGGAGGCACGGAGAGGTGGGACAGGGACATGGGGACACTGAGGGGAAATTGGGGACATTGGGGGGATTGGAGATACTGGGGACATTGGGGACACTGGGACATTGGGGGCACTGGGGACACTGGGGTCACGGTGCTGAGCAGCTCCCTCAGGGGGGCACGGAGAGGTGGGACATGGGGACATTGGAGACACTGAGGGGACATCTGGGACACTGAGGGGACATTGGGGACATCTGGGACACTGGGGGAACATCGGGGACACTGGGGACATCGGGGACACTGGGGGGACATTGGGATATTGGGGATACTGGGGACATTGGGGATGGGGGGGACATGGGGACATCAGGGACCCTGGTGACATTGGGGACACTGGGGATACTGGGGGACACTGGGGACACGGTGCTGAGCAGCTCCCTCAGGGGGGCATGGAGAGGTGGGACAGGGACGTGGGGACACTGGGGGGACACTGGGGGGACATTGGGGGGACATTGGGGGGGATTGGGGGTACTGGGGACATTGGGGGCACTGGGGACATCAGGGACACGGTGCTGAGCAGCTCCCTCAGGGGGGCATGGAGAGGTGGGACATGGGGACATTGGAGACACTGAGGGTACACTGGGGGCATTGGGGACCTCGGGGACATTGGGGACACTGGGGGAACATTTGGGACATTGAGGACACTGGGGACATCGGGGACACTGGGGGGACATTGGGGTATTGGGGACACTGGGGACATTGGGGACATCAGGGACCCTGGTGACACTGGGACATTGGGGACATTGGGGGACACTGGGGACACGGTGCTGAGCAGCTCCCTCAGGGAGGCACGCAGAGGTGGGACAGGGACACCGGGGACACTGAGGGGACATTGGGGACATTGGGGACATCAAGGGCACATTGGGGACACTGGGGACATCGAGGGCACATTGGGGACATGGGGACATTGGCGGACACTGGGGACGGGGCACAGTAGTGCCAGTGGGAAGAGTGGGGACAGCAGGGACAGTGGTGACAGCAGCGACAGCCCCATCCCTGCCGTGCTCCCGCAGCTGCCGAGGGTGACACCACGGGGACATCGCTGGTGCCACCGCCCGCGGGGACATCGCTGGTGCCACCACCCACGGGGACATCGCTGGTGCCACCGCCCGCGGGGACATCGCTGGTGCCACCGCCCGCGGGGACATCGCTGGTGCCACCACCCACGGGGACATCGCTGGTGCCACCCGCCGAGGGTCCCGAGCAGGACGCGGAGGAGGCGCAGGTCCTGGAGCTGGCCCAGACAGGTGACACGGGGACAGGGCTGGGACACGCCAGGGACACGCCAGGGCCACCCCAGGGGTGGGACACGCCAGGGACATCCCAGGAACTTGGGGTGGGACACACCAGGGCCACCCCAGGGCCGCCCTGGCCATGTCACACCCCAGGGCCACCCCAGGGCCACCCCGGCCTGTCCTGGAGTCTGGGCCACACCAGGGCCACCTGAGCCTGTCCCCAAGTGCCACCTGTGCAGGGATGGGGGGGGGACAGCCCTTCCCAGGGGGACATTCCCTGAAATGCCCCCAGAACCTCCCCTGGGGTCACCTCCTGTCCCCACGCTGTCCCCACGGTGTCCCTGGGCTGGACCAGTCCTGCCCCAGGGCTGGGGGTGCCACCCAGCAGTGTCACCCTGGTGTCCCCATGCCCGCTCTGAGGGGTTGGGGGTGTCACCCCCAGTGTTCCCAGTGTCCCCCATGTGTCCCCCTGCCCGCTCTGGGTGCCATCCCTGTATCCCCCGTGTCCCTGTGTGTCCCTGCGTGTCCCTGCGTGTCCCCATGCCCGCTCTGGGTGCCATCCCCGTGTCCTTGTGTGTCCCTGTGTGTCCCCTGTGTGTCCCTGCGTGTCCCCATGCTCTCTCTGGGTGCCATCCCCGTGTCCCTGTGTGTCCCCTGTGTGTCCCCATACCCGCTCTGGGTGCCATCCCTGTGTCCCCATGTGTCCCTGTGTGTCCCCATGTGTCCCCTGTGTGTCCCTGCATATCCCCCTGCCCGCTCTGGGTGCCATCCCCATGTCCCTGTGTGTCCTTGCGTGTCCTTGCGTGTCCCTGTGTGTCCCTGTGTGTCCCTGTGTGTCCCCATGCCCGCTCTGGGTGTCATCCCCCTGTCCCTGTGTGTCCCTGTGTGTCCCTGTGTGTCTCTGTGTGTCCCCATACCCGCTCTGGGTGCCATCCCCGTGTCCCCTGTGTGTCCCCGTGTGTCCCCTGCGTGTCCCTGTGTGTCCCCATGCCCGCTCTGGGTGCCATCCCCGTGTCCCTGTGTGTCCCTGTGTGTCCCTGCATGTCCCTGCGTGTCCCCATACCCACTCTGGGTGCCATCCCCGTGTCCCTGTGTGTCCCCTGTGTGTCCCTGCATGTCCCTGCGTGTCCCCATACCCACTCTGGGTGCCATCCCCGTGTCCCTGTGTGTCCCCTGTGTGTCCCTGTGTGTTCCTGTGTGTCCCCTGCGTTTCCCTGCGTGTCCCCTGCGTGTCCCCCTGCCCACTCTGGGTGCCATCCCCGTGTCCCTGTGTGTCCCCGTGTGTCTCTGTGTGTCCCTGTCTGTCCCTGTGTGTCTCTGTGTGTCCCCTGTGTGTCTCTGTCTGTCCCCATGCTCTCTCTGGGTGCCATCCCCGTGTCCCTGTGTGTTCCTGTGTGTCCCCTGCGTTTCCCTGCGTGTACCCTGCGTGTCCCCATGCTCTCTCTGGGTGCCATCCCCATGTCCCCTGTGTGTCCCCTGCGTTTCCCTGCGTGTACCCTGCGTGTCCCCATGCCCTCTCTGGGTGCCATCCCCATGTCCCCTGTGTGTCCCCTGTGTGTCCCTGTGTGTCCCTGTGTGTCCCCTGTGTGTTCCTGTGTGTCCCCTATGTGTCCCTGTGTGTCCCTGTGTGTCCCTGTCTGTCTCTGTGTGTCCCCCTGCCCACTCTGGGTGCCATCCCCATGTCCCCATGTCCCCAGAGGAGCTGGCCCTGCGGCTGGCCGAGGCCATCACCTTTGGGGACGAGGCGGTGGCAGCGCAGAGCGCGGTGGCGCTGGCCCGGCGGCACGCGGAGCTGAGCGTGAGCCTGCGCCACAGGGACGCGCCCGGGGGCCACCTCAGGTGGGGAGCCTGCCTTGCCTTCCTCAGCATCACCATCCTCATCCTCATCGTCATCCCCGTCCTCTGCACCTGCCTTCCTCAGCATCACCATCCTCATCCTCATCGTCATCCTCATCCCCGTCCTCTGCACCTGCCTTCCTCGTCATCCTCATCATCCTCATCCCCGTCCTCGGGCCCTGCCTTCCTCAGCATCACCATCCTCATCCTCATCCTCATCCCCGTCCTCTGGCCCTGCCTTCCTCAGCATCACCATCCTCATCCTCATCGTCATCCCTGTCCTCTGGCCCTGCCTTCCTCAGCATCACCATCCTCATCCTCATCATCCTCATCCTCATCCCCGTCCTCTGGCCCTGCCTTCCTCAGCATCACCATCCTCATCCTCATCCCCATGCTCTGGCCCTGCCTTCCTCAGCATCACCATCCTCATCCTCATCCCCGTCCTCGGGCCCTGCCTTCCTCAGCATCACCATCCTCATCCTCATCCTCATCCCCATGCTCTGCCCCTGCCTTCCTCAGCATCACCGTCCTCATCCTCGTCATCGTCATCCTCATCCCCGTCCTCTGCATCTGCCTTCCTCGTCATCCTCATCATCCTCATCCCCGTCCTCGGGCCCTGCCTTCCTCGTCATCCTCATCATCCTCATCATTGTCATCCTCATCCCCGTCCTCGGGCCCTGCCTTCATCAGCATCACCATCCTCATCATCGTCATCCCCATCCTCTGCCCCTGCCTTCCTCGTAATCCTCATCCTCTGCCTTCTTCATCATCCTCTTCATCGTCATCGTCATCCTCACCCCCGTCCTCTGGCCCTGCCTTCCTCCTCATCCCCATCCTCTGCCTTCCCTATCATCCTCATCCTCTGCCTTCTTCATCATCCTCATCACTGTCATCCTCATCCTCATCTTCTGCCTTCCTCAGCATCATCATCCTCATCGTCATCCTCATCCCCATTCTCTGGCCCCGCCTTCTTCGTCATCCTCATCCTCTCCCTTCCTCATCCTCATCATCCTCATCATTGTCATCCTCATCCCCGTCCTCTGCCTTCCTCATCATCCTCATCCTCTGCCTTCCTCATCCTCAGAATCCTCATTGTTGTCATCCTCATCCTCTGCCTTCTTCATCCTCATCATCATCATCCTCATCCCCGTCCTCTGCCCCTGCCTTCCCCGTCATCCTCATCCTCTGCCTTCCTCATCCTCATCATCATCCTCATCCCCGTCCTCTGCCTTCCTTATCATCCTCATCCTCTGCCTTCTTCATCACCCTCATCATCCTCATCATTGTCATCCTCATCCTCATCCTCTGCCTTCCTCATCAACAGCATCCCATTACCTCCCGTGTTCCCAGCATGCCAAACCCCAAACCCCAATCCCAATCCCATATCCCATATATCCCATATATCCTCTATATCCCCTATATCCCATATATCCCATATATCCCCTATATCCCATATATCCCATATATCCCATATATCCCATATATCCCCCATATATCCCATATCTCCCATATATCCCCCATATCCCATATATCCCATATATCCCATATATCCCATATATCCCATATATCCCATATATCCCATATATCCCATATATCCCCCATATCCCATATATCCCATATATCCCATATATCCCATATATCCCATGTATCCCCCATATCCCCCATATATCCCATATATCCCGTATATCCCATATATCCCATATATCCCATATATCCCATATATCCCCCATATCCCATACATCCCCTATATCCCCTATATCCCCTATATCCCCTATATCCCATATATCCTTCATATATCCCATATATCCCCCATATATCCCCTATATCCCCTATATCCCCCATATATCCCATATATCCCATATATCCCATATATCCCATTTATCCCATACATCCCATATATCCCATATATCCCATATCTCCCCTATACCCCCTATATCCCCTATGTCCCATATATCCCATATCCTAAATCCCAAATCCCATATATCCCATTGTCTCTCCCCCTGGTTCCCAGCATGCTGTACCCACACCCCAAACCCCAATCCCAAACCCCAATCCCATATATCCCATACATCCCATATATCCCCTATATCCCCTATATCCCCTATATCCCAGATATCTCCCATATATCCCATATATCCCATACATCCCATATCTCCCATATCTCCCATATCTCCCGTATCTCCCATATATCCCATATATCCCATATCTCCCCTATATCCCATATATCCCATATATCCCATATATCCCCCATATCCCATATATCCCTCATATCTCATATATCCCCCATATCCCATATATCCCCTATATCCCATATATCCCCTATATCCCATATATCCCCTATATCCCATATATCCCCTATATCCCATATATCCCATATATCCCCTATATCCCATATATCCCATATCCCATATATCCCATACATCCCATATATCCCCTATATCCCCTATATCCCATATATCCCATATATCCCCCATATATCCCCCATATATCCCCCATATCCCATATCTCCCCTATATCCCATATATCCCCCATATCCCATATATCCCATATATCCCTATATCCCCCATATCCCATATATCCCCTATATCCCAGCATGCCGGTGGGGGTGGAGGACGCCACATCCTCGGCCAGCATCACCCTGCGGGTGCAGCCCCACATCACCATCAGCACCCTCAAGGAGCAGGTACGGACACCTGGGGACACGTGGGGACACGTGGGGACACCCGGGGTCACCCGGGGTCAGCTTGGGTCATCGGGGCCACCTGGGGTCATCCAGGATCACCTGGGGCCACCTGGGGTCACTTGGGGGGAATGGGGTCACCTGGGAGCCAGGCCAGCCCCTGCTCTGCAGGACCAGGATCCCCGGGGTGTCACCTGGGAGTCACCTGGGGTCTCACCTGGGGTTTTACCTGGATCCCATCTGGATCTCCCCCAGATCCAACCCAGGGCTCACCTGGGATCTCACCTGGGTTTTACCTGGGATCCCATCTGGGATCTCCCCAGATCTAACCCAGGGCTCACCTGGGGTTTTACCTGGGATCCCATCTGGGATCTCCCCAGATCCAACCCAGGGCTCACCTGGGGTTTTACCTGGGATCCCATCTGGGATCTCCCCTGGATCCAACCCAGGGCTCACCTGAGGCTCACCTGGAGCTCACCTGGGATCTCCCCCAGGATGTCCCCTGGGATTGCCCCCAGGCTCTCCCAGGATCTGCCCAGGGTTTCCCCAGGATTCCCCAGGATCTCCCTGGGATCTCCCCAGGATTTCTCCAGGTTCTCCAGGATCCCCCATGGGATCCCCGCCAATCCCTTGTGATCCCTGATCCTCCAGGTGTTCCATGAGTAGGGGTTCCCCCCTGATCCTCCCTGATCCCATAGGATCCCCCTGATCCCAGGTGTTCCATGGGTACAGGTTCCCCTGATCCCATAGGATCCCCTCTGATCTAACCCAGGTGTTCCATGGGTACAGGTTCCCTTTGTGCCCCCAGTCCCATAGGATCCCCCTGATCCCCGCAGGTGTTTTGGGTGTACGGATTCCCCCTGAACCCATAGGATCCCCCTGATCCCCCCAGATCCTCCAGGTGTTCCATGAGTCCAGGTTCCCCCCTGATCCTCCCTGATCCCATAGGATCCCCCCTGATCCCCAGGTGTTCCATGGGTACAGGTTCCCTTTGTCCCCCCAATCCCATAGGATCCCCCTGATCCCCGCAGGTGTTTTGGGTGTACGGGTTCCCCCTGAACCCATAGAATCCCCCTGATCCATAGGATCCCCACTCATCCCCAGGTGTTCCATGAGTACAGGTTCCCCCCAGATCCCATAGGATCCCGTGTGATCCCCCCTGATCCCGCAGGTGTTCTGCAAGTACAGGTTCCCCCTGACCCCAAAGGACCCCCCTGATCCCATAGGATCCATGTGAACCCCCCTGATCCCGCAGGTGTTCTGCGAGTACGGGTTCCTCAGATCCCATAGGATCCCATGTGATCCCCCCCAGTCCCGCAGGTGTTTTGGGTGTACGGCTTTCCCCTGACCCCATAGGATCCCCCCGATCCCATAGGATCCCCTGTGATCCCCCCAATCCCCAGGTGTTCCGCGAGTACGGGTTCCCCCTGATCCCATAGGATCCCATAGGATCCCGTGTGATCCCCCTGATCCCCAGGTGTTCTGCAAGTACAGGTTCCCCCTGAACCATAGGATCCCCTGATCCCGCAGGTGTTCCACGAGTATGGCTTTCCCCTGATCCCATAGGACCCCCCTGACCCCATAGGATCCCCCCGATCCCATAGGATCCCCTGTGATCCCCCCGATCCCCAGGTGTTCCGCGAGTACGGGTTCCCCTGACCCCAAAGGACCCCCTGATCCCATACGATCCCATAGGATCCCCTGTGATCCCCCCCAATCCCCAGGTGTTCCGCGAGTACGGGTTCCCCTGGTCCCATAGGATCCCCCTGATCCCATAGGATCCCGTGTGATCCCCCCGATCCCCAGGTGTTCCGCGAGTACGGGTTCCCCCTGATCCCATACGATCCTATAGGATCCCCTGTGATCCCCCCCGATCCCCAGGTGTCCGCGAGTACGGGTTCCCGCCCTCGGCGCAGCGCTGGATCATCGGGCAGAGCCTGTGCCGGGACGGGCGCAGCCTGGCCTCCTACGGCATCCGCCGCGACGGCGACCCCGCCTTCCTCTTCCTCCTTTCGGCACGGCCGCCGCCGGAACCGGCACCGGCACCGGGAGCGGCCCCGGGAGCAGCGCCGGAGCGGCCCCGGGAGCGGCCCCGGCTCCGGGAGCGGCCCCGGCCCCGGCGGGCCCCGAGCGGCAGCGGGAGCTGCAGGCGCAGGAGCTGCTGCGCGCCGCGGGGCTGCACGGGGACGGGGACGGACACGGGGATGGAGCACCGGGAGCAGGTACGGGGCTGGAGCCTTCCTCAGCATCGGCCTCAGGCTGCTCCTTCCTCATCATCAGCCTCAGGCTGCTCCTTCCTCAGCATCCTCAGCCTGCTCCTTCCTCAGCATCCTCATCATCCCCAGCCTGCTCCTTCCTCAGCATCAGCCTCAGCCTGCTCCTTCCTCAGCATCCTCATCATCCTCATCATCCTCAGCCTGCTCCTTCCTCAGCATCCTCATCATCCTCAGCCTGCTCCTTCCTCATCATCCTCATCATCCTCAGCCTGCTCCTTCCTCAGCATCCTCAACCTGCTCCTTCCTCAGCAGCGTCCCCAGCCTGCTCCTGCTCCTGCTGCTCCCTCATCATCCTCATCCTGCTCTTCCTCATCATCGTCCTCAGCCTGCTCCTTCCTCATCATCATCCTCATCCTGCTCCTTCCTCATCATCATCCTCAGCCTGCTCCTTCCTCATCATCATCCTCAGCCTGCTCCTTCCTCATCATCATCCTCAGCCTGCTCCTTCCTCATCATCATCCTCAGCCTGCTCCTTCCTCACCATTCTCATTGTGCTGCTCCTGCCCTTCCTCCCCGTCCTCCTTCATCATCCTGCCCTTGCTTATTTCTCCTCTTGCTGCTCTTGCTCCTGCCTCTTCTTCATCATCCTCATTCCTGCTACTCCTGCTCCCGCTTGTTTCTCATCCTGCTGCTCCTGCACTTTCCTTACCTGGCCCAGGTACGGCTGACAGAGCCTTTGTCACCATCCTCCTGTCCCTTCCTCCTCACCCTCATCTTCCTCCTGCTCCTCTTGCTTCCTCATCTGTTCCTTCCTCCTCATCCTCACACTATTCCTGTTTGTTTTTCACCATCCTCCTCCTCCTCCTCCACCTGCTCCTGTTCCTTCCTTCTCTTTTCTCCATCTCCTTCCTCCCGTGTCCGGCTGTCCCCAGGCCGTGTCCCCGAGGAGCCCCCGGAGCGGATGGACATCGGGGACATCCGGGATCACCTGGACTCGCTGCAGCTCTGGGACAGTGCGGGGACCCCGCCCACGGGCCCTGAGCCCCGCCCACCCTCACCTGAGCAGGTACGGGGGGGTCCTGTCCTGATCCCCATCCCTGATCCCCATCCTGATCCCCGATCCTGATTCCAGTCCCTGATCCCAGTCCCTGATCCCAGTCCTGGTGTTTCAGGGTGGACACAGCCCCCAGGCACTGCCCACGCACACCTGACCGGGCTGTGAGATGTGCCCTGTTCCTGTTCCTGTTCCCAATCCCATTCCCAATCCCATTCCCAATCCTGTTCCCATTCCCAGGCAGGCTGGCCATGCCCCCAGCCGCCTTCTCAATCCCATTCCCAATCCCAGCCCCGTTCCCAATCCAATCCTGTTCCCATTCCCAGGTAGGCTGGCTTTGCCCCCAGCCCAAATCCCATTCCCAGTCCTGTTCCCAATCCCGTTCCCATTCCCAGGGCTGGCCGTGCCCCCAGTGCACGTTCCTGAACAAGCCCACCCGGCTGGGCTGTGAGATGTGCCCCATTCTCAATCCCAATCCCAATCCCAATAATTCCTAATCCCAATAATTCCTGTTCCCATTCCCAGGGCTGGCCGTGCCCCTAGTGCACGTTCCTGAACGATCCCACCCAGCTGGGCTGTGAGATGTGCCCTGTTCCCAATCCCAATCCCAATCCCATTAATTCCCAATCCAAATAATCCCATTCCCAGGGCTGGTCATGCCCCTGGTGCACATTCCTGACAATCCCACCTGGCTGGGCTGTGAGATGTGCTCTGTTCCCAATCCCAATCCCAATAATTCCCAATCCCAATCCCATTAATTCCCAATCCCAATCCCATTAATTCCCAATCCCAATCCCAATCCCAATCCCATTAATTCCCAATCCCAATAATCCCGTTCCCAGGGCTGGCGATGCCCCCAGTGCACGCTCCTGAACAAGCCCACCCGGCTGGGCTGTGAGATGTGCCCCATTCTCAATCCCAATAATTCCCAATCCCAATAATTCCCAATCCCAATAATTCCCAATCCCAATCCCATTAATTCCCAATCCCAATCCCAATCCCATTAATTCCCAATCCCAATAATCCCGTTCCCAGGGCTGGCCGTGCCCCCAGTGCACGTTCCTGAACAAGCCCACCCGGCTGGGCTGTGAGATGTGCCCCCGTTCCCAATCCCAATCCCAATAATTCCCAATCCCAATAATCCCAATAATCCCGTTCCCAGGGCTGGCCATGTCCCCAGTGCACGCTCGTGAACAAGCCCACCCGGCCAGGCTGTGAGATGTGCCCCATTCTCAATCCCAATAATTCCCAATCCCAATAATCCCAATAATCCCGTTCCCAGGGCTGGCCGTGCCGCCAGTGCACATTCCTGAACAAGCCCACCCGGCCGGGCTGTGAGATGTGCCTCATTCCCAATCTCAATCCCATTAATTCCCAATCCCAGTCCCAATAATTCCCAATCCCAATCATTCCCAATCCCAATAATCCCAATAATCCCAATAATCCCGTTCCCAGGGCTGGCCGTGCCCCCAGTGCACGTTCCTGAACAAGCCCACCCGGCCGGGCTGTGAGATGTGCCCTGTTCCCAATCCCAATAATCCCAATAATCCCAATAATCCCAATAATCCCAATAATCCCGTTCCCAGGGCTGGCCGTGCCCCCAGTGCACGTTCCTGAACAAGCCCACCCGGCCGGGCTGTGAGATGTGCCCTGTTCCCAATCCCAATCCCAATAATTCCCAATCCCAATCCCATTAATTCCCAATCCCAATCCCAATCCCAATCCCAATCCCAATCCCAATCCCAATCCCAATCCCAATCCCAATAATTCCCAATCCCAATAATCCCGTTCCCAGGGCTGGCCGTGCCCCCAGTGCACGTTCCTGAACAAGCCCACCCGGCTGGGCTGTGAGATGTGCCCTGTTCCCAATCCCAATCCCATTCCCAATCCCAATCCCAATCCCAATCCCAATCCCAATCCCAATAATCCCAATAATCCCAATAATCCCATTCCCAGGGCTGGCCGTGCCCCCAGTGCACGTTCCTGAACAAGCCCACCCGGCCGGGCTGTGAGATGTGCAGCGCCCCCCGGCCCGAGGGGTACCGTGTGCCCGGGGGGCACCGCCCCGACCCCGCCGAGCTGCGGCGGCTGCAGAGGGAGCGCGACGGGACCCGGCAGTGCCAGCAGGTAAGGGGGCTATGGGATCTATGGGAGATATGGGATCTATGGGATCTATAGGATATGGGAGCTATGGGATCAGCGCGACAGGACCCGGCAGTGCCAGCAGGTATGGGGGCTATGGGATATGGGATCAACGGGATATGGGATCAATGGGATATGGGATCAACGGGATCTATGGGATCTATGGGATATGGGATCAATGAGATATAGGAATCAATGGGATCAGTGTGACGGGACCCGGCAGTGCCAGCAGGTATGGGAGCTATGGGATCTATGGGATATATGGGATCTATGGGATATAGGAGCTATGGGATATGGGATCTATGGGATCAGCGTGACGGGACCCGGCAGTGCCAGCAGGTATGGGAGCTATGGGATCTATGGGAGCTATGGGATATGGGATCAATGGGATATGGGAGCTATGGGATATGGGATCAGCGTGACGGGACCCGGCAGTGCCAGCAGGTATGGGGGCTATGGGATCTATGGGATCTATGGGATCTATAGGATCAATGGGATCAGTGTGACGGGACCCGGCAGTGCCAGCAGGTATGGGGGCTATGGGGTATGGGAGAGCTATGGGATCTATGGGATCTATAGGATATGGGATCAGCGCGACGGGACCCGGCAGTGCCAGCAGGTATGGGGGCTATGGGATCTATGGGATCTATGGGATCTATGGGATCTATGGGATATGGGATCTATGGGATATGGGATCAGCGCGACGGGACCCAGCAGTGCCAGCAGGTATGGGGGCTATGGGGTCAGTGGGGTCTATGGGATCAATCAATGGGATATGGGATCAATGCGATGGGAATGGCAGTGCCAGCAGTTATGGGGTCACTGGGATCTATGGGATCAATGGGATCAATCAATGGGATATGGGATCAATGTGATGGGAATGGCAGTGCCAGCAGTTATGGGATCACTGGGATCTCTGAGGTCTGTGGGGTCTATGGGGTCACTGGGATCTATGGGATCAATGGGATCAATCAATGGGATCAATGGGATCAGCTCAACGGGACCCGGCAGTGCCAGCAGGTACGGGGGCTGTGAGGTCAATGGGATCTATGGGATATGGGATCAATCGGATGTGGGATCAATGGGATCAATACGACAGGAACAGCAGTGCCAGCAGGTATGGGGGCTGTGGGGTCAATAGGATATGGGATCTATGGGATCTGTGGGATGTGGGATCTATGGGATCAGTGTGACAGGACACTGATCCTGACACTGGCAGTGCCAGCAATTACGGGGGATTATGGGATCTATAGGATATGGGATCTGTGGGGTATGGAATCAATGGGATATGGGATCAGTGTGGCGGGACGTGGCAGTGCCAGCAGGTATGGGGGCTGTGAGGTCAATGGGATCTATGGGATATGGGATCAATCGGATGTGGGATCAACGGGATCTATGGGATACAGGAGCTATGGGATATGGGATCTATGGGATATGGGATCAGCGCGACGGGACCTGGCAGTGCCAGCAGGTACTGGGGCTGTGAGGTCAATGGGATCTATGGGATATGGGATCTATGGGATATGGGATCAGCGCGACGGGACCCAGCAGTGCCAGCAGGTATGAGGTATGGGGGCTATGGGGTATGGGAGCTATGGGATATGGGAGATATGGGATCAGTGTGACGGGACCCGGCAGTGCCAGCAGGTACGGGGGCTATGGGATATGGGATCTATGGGATCTATGGGATCAGCGCAAAGGACCCGGCAGTGCCAGCAGGTACGGGGGCTGTGAGGTCAATGGGATCTATGGGATATGGGATCTATGGGATCTATGGGATCTATGGGATCAATGGGATCAGTGTGACAGGACACGGCAGTGCCAGCAGGTACTGCTTGGGGTATGGGGTCTGTGGGATTTGGGATCAGTGGGATCTATGGGATCAGCACAACGGGACCCACCAGTGCCAGCAGGTACGGGGTCACCAGGGTCAATGGGATCTATGGGATCAATGGGGTAGGGGATCAATGGGGTATGGGATCAATGGGGTATGGGATCAGCGTGACAGGACACACATTTTCCAATTTTTCCCATTTTCCCCCATTTTTTGCCCCGTTCCCAGGCTCTGGAGGTGGAGCTTCAGCAGAACCTGGCGCAGCTGCTGCTCCCATTTTTGTATTTTTTCCTGGGTTTTTTCCCCATTTTTTTCCCCTGGGGTTTTTTCCCGATTTTTCCCAGTTTTTTTCCCATTTTTTCCCATTTTCCCGGTTTTTCTTCCCACACTCTGGAGGCAGAGCATCCAGCGGAACCTGGCGCAGCTGCTCCCATTTTTGTATTTTTCCTGGCTTTTTTCCCCATTTTTCCTATTTTTCCTGGCTTTTTTCCCCATTTTTCCCCCCCGGGTTTTTTTCCCGATTTTTCCTGGCTTTTTTCCCGTTTTCCTCCCCAGGCGCTGGAGGCGGAGCGGCAGCAGAACCTGGCACAGCTGCTGCTCCCATTTTTCCCATTTTCCCCGGGGTTTTTTTCCCATTTTTCCCATTTTCCCCCCCGGGGTTTTTTTCCCATTTTTCCTGGTTTTTTTCCCATTTTTCCCATTTTTCCCATTTTTCTCCCCACGCTCTGGAGGCGGAGCGTTAGCAGAACCTGGTGCAGCTGCTGCTCCCCATTTTTCCCATTTTCCCCGGGGTTTTTTCCCATTTTTCCCGGTTTTTTCCCCATTTTTCCCATTTTCCGGGTTTTCCTCCCCAGGCGCTGGAGGCGGAGCGGCAGCAGAACCTGGCGCAGCTGCTGCTACCCATTTTTGTATTTTTCCTGGGTTTTTTCCCACTTTTCCCGGTTTTTTTCCCATTTTCCCATTTTCCCCCGGGGTTTTTTCCCATTTCCCGGTTTTCCTCCCCAGGCGCTGGAGGCGGAGCGGCAGCAGAACCTGGCGCAGCTGCTGCTCCCATTTTTGTATTTTTCCTGGGTTTTTTCCCACTTTTCCCGGTTTTTTTCCCATTTTCCCCCCATTTTCCCCCGGGGTTTTTTCCCATTTTTTCCCGTTTTTTTCCCCATTTTGCCCATTTTCCCCGGTTTTCCTCCCCAGGCGCTGGAGGCGGAGCGGCAGCAGAACCTGGCGCAGCTGCTGCGGGCGGAGGAGGCGGGGCTGGTGCTGAACCCGGAGCCGCTCGAGTGCGGGATCTGCCTGCAGGAGGTGCCGGCGGGCCGGGCCGTGCTGCTGCGCGACTGCCTGCACAGCTTCTGCCGGTACCGGCGCACCGGGCACACCTGGGATACACCTGGGATACACCTGGGCACACCTGGGATACACCTGGGCACACCTGGGATAGACTGGGATACACCTGGGATACACCTGGGCACACATGGGGACACCTGGGATAGACTGGGATAGACCTGGGCACACCTGGGATAGACTGGGATACACCTGGGCACACCTGGGATATACCTGGGATACACCGGGATAGACTGGGATACACCTGGGATACACCGGGATAGACCTGGGGACACCTGGGATAGACTGGGATACACCTGGATAGACCTGGGATACACCTAGGCACACCTGGGATACACCCTGGGATAGACTGGGATACACTGGGATACACCTGGGATACACCTGGGCACACCTGGGGACACCTGGGATAGACTGGGATAGACCTGGGCACACCTGGGATATACCTGGGCTAGGCTGGGATACACTGGGATACACTGGGATAGACTGGGATACACCGGGATAGACTGGGATAGACCTGGGCACACCTGGGATACACCTGGGATAGACTGGGATACACCTGGGCACACCTGGGCACACCTGGGATACACTGGGATACACCTGGGCACACCTGGGATACACTGGGATACACCTGGGATAGACTGGGATAGACCTGGGCACACCTGGGATAGACTGGGATAGACTGGGATACACCTGGGCACACCTGGGATATACCTGGGATAGACTGGGATAGACCTGGGCACACCTGGGATAGACTGGGATACACCTGGGCACACCTGGGATACACCTGGGATATACCTGGGCGCACCTGGGCACACATGGACACACCTGGGATAGACTGGGATACACGGGGTTACACTGGGATTCAATGGGACACACCTGGGATACACCTGGGCACACGTGGGCAACAGAGGGATACAGCTGGGATACACCAGGATACACCTGGGATAGACTGGGATACACCTGGGATACACCAGGATAGACCTGGATAGACCTGGGCACACCTGGGATTGACTGGGATATACCTGGGATATACCTGGGGACACCTGGGGTAGGCTGGGATACACCAGGATAGGCCTGGGCACACCTGGGATATACCTGGGCACACGTGGGCAACAGAGGGATACACCTGGGATACACCAGGGATAGACTGGGATACACCAGGATACACCTGGGATGCACCTGGGCACACATAGGCACACCTGAGATAGACTGGGATACACCTGGGATACACCTTGGCACACCTGGGATGTACCTGGGATACACCGGGATAGACCTGGCACACATGGGCACACCTGGGATAGGCTGGGATACACCTGGGATACACCGGGATAGACCTGAGATACACCTGGGATACACCTGGGTGCACCTGGGCACACATGGACACACCTGGAATAGACTGGGATACACCGGGATACACCTGGGCACACATAGGCACACCTGGGATAGACTGGGATACACGTGGTTACACTGGGATTCAATGGGACACACCTGGGATACACCTGGGCACACCTGGGATAGACTGGGACACACCTGAGATACACCTGGGACCTCGGAACACCCCCCAGGACCCCCCACCCACCTTTGGAGTGACCCAGCCCTGGGACCCCCCCCCCCATTGCCATGAGCGGTCCCAGCATCCCCCGGCCCCAGAGTGACCACTGACCCCTCCCCCCCATTGCAGTGACCGGGCCCCAAGAGCCGCCCCGAGCCCCCCACACCACCCCAGTGACCACCCCAGTGACCACTCCAGTGACCACCCTGACACCCCCACACCACCCCAGTGACCACCCCAGTGACCACCACAGTGACCACCACAGTGACCACCCTGACACCCCCACACCACCACCCCAGTGACCAGCCCAGTGACCACCCCAGTGACCACCCCAGTGACCACCCCAGTGACCACCCTGACACCCCCACACCACCGCAGTGACCACCCCAGTGACCATCCCCAGTGACCACCCCAGTGACCACTCCAATGACCTCTCCAGTGACTACCCTGACACCCCCACACCACCCCAGTGACCACCCCAGTGACCACTCTAATGACCACCCCAGTGACCATCCGTGCCCCCACACCACCCCAGTGACCATCCCAGTGACCACCCTGACACCCCCACACCACCGCAGTGACCACCCCAGTGACCATCCCAGTGACCACTCCAATGACCACCTCAGTGACCACCCCTGACACCCCCCACACCATCCCAGTGACCACCCCAGTGACCACCCCAGTGACCACTCTAATGACCACTCCAGTGACCATCCGTGCCCCCACACCACCCCAGTGACCACCGCAGTGACCACCCCAGTGACCACCCCAGTGACCACTCCAATGACCACTCCAGTGACCATCCGTGCCCCCACACCACCCCAGTGACCATCCCAGTGACCACCCCTGCCCCCCAGACCATCCCAGTGACCATCCCTCACCCCACCAGTGTCCCTCACTCCCCCAGCGTCCCTCACCCCCCCGGTGTCCCTGAGCCCCCCCGGTGTCCCTGAGCCCCCCAGTGCCCCCCCGGTGTCCCTGAGCCCCCCCGGTGTCCCTCATGCCCGCCCCGGTGTCGCCGCTGTCCCCAGGGAGTGCCTGCGGCAGGTGATCAACTTCAGCGAGGAGCCGGTGGTGGCCTGTCCCTTCCGCGATGTCACCTACGCCTGCGGCAGCCACCTGCAGGAGCGCGAGATCCGCGCGGTGCGCGCCGGGAGGGACCGGGGGGACCGGGGGGGACCGGGAGGGGACGGGGGGGACCGGGAGGGACCAGGAGGGGACGGGGGGACCGGGAGGGACCGAGGGGACCGGGGGGACCGGGAGGGACCGGGGGGACCGGGGGGACCGGGAGGGGACGGGGGGACCGGGAGGGACCGGGAGGGACCGGGGGGACCGGGGGGACCGGGAGGGACCGGGGGGACCGGGAGGGACCGGGGGGACCGGGAGGGACCGGGAGGGACCGGGGGGACCGGGAGGGACCGAGGGGACCGGGAGGGACCGGGAGGGGACGGGGGGGACCGGGGGGGTCACAGCCACCCCCGCGCGGGGGGGGTCCCAGGGGACCGGGCTGTCCCCTGGGGTAGGGCTGGGGTCCCCAAGGGTGGGTGACAGTGGCTCAGGGGTCCCCACTGAGTGAGTGACAGTGACTCAGGGGGTCCCTAAACCACCCCTGGCACAGGAGCCAGTGACTCAGGGGTCCCAGGGTGACCCCCACTGAATGAGTGACAGTGACTTGGGGGTCCCCATGGGTGGGTGACAGTGACTCAGGGGGTCCCCACTGAGTGGGTGACAGTGGCTCAGGGGTCCCCAAGGGCGGGTGACAGTGGCTCAGGGGTCCCCAGGGGTGGGTGACAATGATTCAGGGGGTCTCTATGGGTGAGTGACAATGACTCAGGGGGTCCCTAAGCCACCCCTGGCAAAGGAGCCAGTGACTCAGGGGTCCCAGGGTGACCCCCACTGAGTGGGTGACAGTGACTTGGGGGTCCCCAAGGGTGGGTGACAGTGACTCGGGGGTCCCCATGGGCAGGTGACAATGACATGGGGGTCCCCATGGGCAGGTGACAGTAACTCAGGGGGTCCCATGGGTGGGTGACAGTGACATGGGGGGCCCCAAGGGCGGGTGACAGTGACTCGGGCCCCACATGGGTGGGTGACAGTGACTCAGGGGGTCCCCACGGGCAGGTGACAGTGACTCAGGGGGTCCCTAAGGGTGAGCGACCGTGACATGGGGGTCCCCAAGGGCGGGTGGCAGTGGCTCAGGGGGTCCCCATGGGCAGGTGACAATGACATGGGGGTCCCCAAGGGCAGGTGACAGTGACTCAGTGGTCCCCAAGGGCAGGTGACAGTGACTCAGTGGTCCCCAAGCCACCCCTGGCGCAGGAGCCAGTGACTCAGGGGTCCCCACAGGGTGGGTGACAGTGGCTCAGGGGGTCCCAACGCCACCTCTCTGATGTCCCCGTGTCCCCAGCTGCTGTCCCCTGAGGAGCCCGCATGGGGGCTGGCCCAGGGTCCCCAAGGGTGGGTGACGGTGACTCAGGGGTCCCAATGCCATCCCCCACAATGTCCCCAATGTCGCAGCTGCTGTCCCCCGAGGAGCACACACGGGGGCTGGCCCTGGCTCAGGGTGGGTGACTCAGGGGTCCCAATGCCATCCCCCCAATGTCCCCAATGTCCCCAATGTCGCAGCTGCTGTCCCCCGAGGAGCATGCGCAGTTCCTGGTGCAGGGGCTGGCGCTGGCTCAGGGCGGGTGACACAGGGGTCCCAATGCCGTGTCCCCAGTGTCCCCAATGTCCCCAATGTCCCCAATGTCCCCAATGTCCCCAATGTCGCAGCTGCTGTCCCCAGAGGAGCACGCGCGGGGCCTGGCCCTGGCTCAGGGTGGGTGACTCGGGGGTCCCAATGCCATCCCCCCAATGTCGCCAATGTCGCCAATGTCGCAGCTGCTGTCCCCCGAGGAGCACGCGCGGTTCCTGGCGCGGGGGCTGGCGCTGGCCGAGCGCCGCAGCCGGAACAGTTTCCACTGCCGGGGCCGGGACTGCCCGGGCTGGTGCTTCTACGAGGACGCCGTGAACGAGTTCCGCTGCCCGGTCTGCGGGGCCCTCAACTGCCTCCTGTGCAAGGTCAGCCCGGGGGGGTCCCGCGGGGGTCCGGGGGGGGTCCCGGGGGTCCCGCACTGACCCCCCCGGTCCCCCCAGGCCATCCACGAGGGCCAGAACTGCCGGCAGTACCAGGACGAGCTGCAGCTGCGGGCGCTGCACGACGCGGCCGCTCGCCAGACGCGGGACATGCTGCAGGTGGGTGCGGGGGTGCGGGGGTTCGGGGGGCGCTGGGGGGAAAAGGGGGGGTCCGGAGGGGTCCCCGCGGCCCTGACCCCCCCTCCGGACCCCTCCCCAGACGCTGGTGCAGCGGGGCGAGGCCATGCACTGCCCCACGTGCCACATCGTGGTGCAGAAGAAGGACGGGTGCGACTGGATCCGCTGCACCGTGTGCCAGACCGAGATCTGCTGGGTCACCAAGGGACCCCGCTGGGGACCGGCGGTGAGGGGGGGTCCCGGGGCAGGGTCCCGGAGGGGTTTGGGGTGGGCAGGGATCGGGGGGGGGGGGTCCTGGGGGTGTCTTGAGGGGGTCTGAGATGAGGAGGGGTCACCAAGGGCTGTGCTGGGGGGCTTGGGATGATGGGGGACCCCGGGGTGAGGGGGGGGACACAGAGAGACCTCAGGGTGAGGAGGGGGGACACAGAGTGACCCCAGGGTGAGGAGGGGACACAGAGTGACCCCAGGGTGACCCCAGGGTGAGGGGGGGACACAGAGTGACCCCAGGGTGACCCCAGGGTGTGGTGGGGGGACACAGAGTGACCCCAGGATGACCCCAGGGTGAGGGGGGGACACAGAGTGACCCCAGGGTGACCCCAGGGTGTGGGGGGGACACAGAGTGACCCCAGGCTGACCCCGGGCATGGGGGGGACACAGAGTGACCCCAGCTGACCCCTCCCCTGTCCCCGCAGGGCCCCGGTGACACCAGCGGCGGCTGTCGCTGCAACGTCAATGGCCAGAGGTGCCACCCCCGGTGCCAGAACTGCCACTGACCCCTCCCCCCCGGGGACACCGAGGGACAGACGGACAGACGGACAGAGCTGGCACCGGGCCGGAAACGCCTGAGGGCTCCGGGAGGGGCCACGTCCAACGGGGATGGAGAGAGAGGACACAGGGACAGACGGACAGGATGGACACATGGACAGAGCCAAGGATGGACACTGGGACGGCCTCGGGGCGTGGAGGGGCCACCGGGGGGCCCCGGGACCCGCGGGGGGCCCAATAAAGCCACTGAGTGTCACAGGTTGGCACTGCCACCCGCGTGGGGACAGGGACACCCCTGGCACTGCCACCAGCTTGGGGACAGGGACACGGGGACAGGGATATGGGAACAGCCCCGGTGTGGGAACAGGGACACGGGGACAACCCTGGCACTGCCACCTATGTGGGGACAGGGACATGGGGACACCCCTGGCATGGGGACAGGGACAGCCCTGGCACTGCCACCCGCGTGGGGACAGGGACACAGGGACAGCCCCAGTGTGGGGACAGGGACATGGGGACACTCTTGGCACGGCCACTGGTGTGGGGACAGGGACACAGGGGTCACCCCAGCATGGGGACAGGGATGGAGACAAGGAGTGGACAGAGGTCACTCCTGGGATGGGGACAGGGTCAGAGGTCATTCCTGGCATGGGGACAGGGACAGGGTCAGAGGTCACTCCTGGGATGGGGACAGGGTCAGAGGTCACTCCCAGCATGGGGACACGGTCAGGGTCAGAGGTCACTCCCGGGATGGGGACAGGGTCAGAGGTCAGAGGTCACTCCCGGGATGGGGACAGGGTCAGAGGTCAGAGGTCACTCCCGGGATGGGTCAAGGGGAGCTGGCACTGAACGAGACCCCAGAGCCAGCGGGGGCTGCAGTGGGGACACGGCACCGGCACAGCCTGGGCTGGGCATGGCCTGGGCAAAGACTGACCCATGGTCTGACCCACAGAGTGACCACAGAGTGACCACAGACTGACTGACCCATGGTCTGACCACAGACTGACCACAGACAGACTGACCCACAGACTGACCACAGACAGACTGACCCACAGACTGACTGACCCACAGACTGACCCACAGACTGACCAATGGTCTGACCCACACACTGACCCACAGACTGACTGACCCATAGACTGACCCATGGTCTGACCCACAGACTGACCCATGGTCTGACCCACAGAGTGACCACAGACAGACTGACCCATGGTCCTGACCACAGACTGACCCACAGACAGACTGACCCACAGACTGACCCACAGACTGACCACAGACTGACCCATGGTCTGACCCACAGACTGACCACAGACTGACCACAGACTGACTGACCCATGGTCTGACCCACACACTGACCCACACACTGACCCACAGACAGACTGACCACAGACTGACCACAGACTGACTGACCCATGGTCTGACCCACACACTGACCCACACACTGACCCACAGACAGACTGACCACAGACTGACCACAGACTGACTGACCCATGGTCTGACCCACAGACTGACCCATGGTCTGACCCACAGACTGACCCACAGACTGACTGACCACAGACTGACCACAGACTGGACCCACAGACTGACCCCCCAGACTGACCAGACTGACCACAGACTGACCCATGGTCTGACCCACAGACTGACCACAGACTGACCCACAGACTGACCCACAGACAGACTGACCCATGGTCTGACCCACAGACAGACTGACCACAGACTGACCCACGGCATTGGCACAGCCTGGGCACGGCTGGACAAACACCCCAGACAGACCCAGCCCCACACCAAGGACAGCCCCGGCCCCACAGCCATGACAAGACCCGGGACAGCCCCAGCCCCACAGCCAGGACAGACTGGCCCCGGGACAGACGGACAGACCCAGCCCCACACCACAGACACACTCACCCCAGCCCCAGCCCCATATCAGGGGCAGACCCAGGACAGCCCCAGCCCCACTCCTGGCCCACACCCAGGACAGACCCAGCTCCATATCCAGAACAGCCCCACAGGAAGGACAGACTGGCCCTGGGACAGACAGACAGACAGACCCAGCCCCACACACAGACACACCCACCCCAGCCCCAGCCCCACAAGGACAGCCCCAGCCCCATATCCAGAACAGCCCCACAGGAAGGACAGACTGGCCCCGGGACAGACGGACAGACCAGCCCCACACCACAGACACACCTCACCCAGCTCCAGCCCCATATCAGGGGCAGACCCAGGACAGCCCCAGCCCCATATCCAGAACAGCCCCACAGAAGGACAGCCCCAGCCCCACAGGAAGGACAGAGCGGCCCAGGACAGACGGACAGACGGAGCCCTGCTCGTGTTTCTGTTCTGTGGAACCCCAGCCTTTATTCCCCCCCTGCAGCCCCGCGGGGGCCGAGGCCGGCTCGAACACGAGGGGGGGGGACGGGACCCCCCAATGCCCCTCCTGGGGGGGCTCCCCCGTGCCGTGGGGGGGCCCGGGGGCTCCCCCAGGGCCGATTTTGGGGCCAGGCCCTACTTGGGGGGCCGATAAACCATCTTCCTGCTCTTGAGCACCGCCCACTTGTGTCGCTTCATGTAGTACAGCAGGGGCGTCAGCAGCCCCGAGATCAGCAGCAGCTGGGGGGGACAGCGGGGTCAGGGGGTCCTGAGCACCCCAGAACCACCCTGAGACCCCCACAAAGCCCCCAGCCCCACCCTGAGCCCCCTCCTGAAGCCCTCAGCCCCCTCAAGCCCCACCTTGAGCCCCCAGCCCCACTCTGAGCCCCCCAAGCATCCCCCAAGCCCCTCCTGAGCCTCCCTGAGCACCCCAGAACCACCCTGAGACCCCCATAAAGCTCCCAGCCCCACCCTGAGCCCCCAGCCCCACCCTGAGCTCCTCCTGAAGCCCTCAGCCCCCTCAAGCCCCACCTTGAGCCCCCAGAGCCCCCAGCCCCACCTCGAGCCCCCCATGAAGCCCCCAAGCCCCTCCTGAGCCTCCCTGAGCACCCCTGAGTCCCCCAAGCCACGCTGAGACCCCCACAAAGCCCTCAGCCCCACCTTGAGCCCCCGGCCCCACCCTGAGCCCCCCAAGCATCCCCCAAGCCCCTCCTGAGCCCCCCAGCCCCACCTTGAGCCCCAGCCCCACCTTGAGCCCCCCCCCAGCCCCACCTTGAGCCCCCAGCCCCACCTTGAGCCCCCAGCCCGACCCTGAGCCCCCCCCCAGCCCCACCTTGAGCCCCCCAGCCCCACCTTGAGCCCACCCAGCCCCTCCTGAGCCCCCAGCCCCACCTTGAGCCCCTCCAGCCCCACCTGAGCCCCCAGCCCCACCTTGAGCCCCCAGAAGCCCCCAGCCCCACCTTGAGCCCCCAGCCCCACCTTGAGCCCCATCTTTTTGCGGTGGTCGTGCTCGGGCTCGGCCGCCCAGCGCAGGAAGGTGCAAACGTCCTTGGCAATCTGGGACATGGGTGGCCGGGGTCCCTGGGGGCACGGGAGGAGTGAGACCCCACTGGGACCCCACAGACCCCACTGGGACCCCCGAGACCCCCAGGAACCCCACAGATACCAGTGAGACCCCCTGGGACCCCACTGGGACCCCACCAGATCCCACTGGGACCCCACAGATCCCACTGAGACCCCACTGGGACCCCACAGATCCCACTGGGACCCCACTGAGACCCCACAGATCCCACTGGGACCCCCGAGACCCCCAGGAACCCCACAGATACCAGTGAGACCCCACTGAGACCCCACAGATCCCACTGGGACCCCACAGATCCCACTGAGACCCCACTGAGACCCCACAGACCCACTGGGAGTCCCGAGACCCCCAGGAACCCCACAGATACCAGTGAGACCCCCTGGGACCCCACTGGGACCCCACAGATCCCACTGGGACCCCACAGACCCCACTGGGACCCCACAGACCCCCAGGAACCCCACAGATACCAGTGAGACCCCCTGGGACCCCACAGACCCCACTGGGACCCCACAGACCCCACTGGGACCCCACAGACCCCACTGGGACCCCCCGAGACCCCCAGGAACCCCACAGATACCAGAGAGACCCCCTGGGACCCCACAGACCCCACTGAGACCCCCTGGGACCCCACTGAGACCCCCCAGATCCCACTGGGACTCCCAGACCCCAGGACCACCCCAGTACCGGGTGTGGTCAAAGCCCCCAGGACCTCCTCAAACCCCCCCAGGGCACCCCCAGCCCCCCCACAATCCCCTCCAGCCCCAGCAGGACCCCCCCAAATCCCCCAGGACTCCCCTGCAGACCCCCCCTAGGACCCTCAGCCTCCCCTCAGACCCCCCCCCCAACCGCAGAGGGACCCCCAAGGTCCCTTTAAGCCGCCCAGGACCCCCCAGCCCCGCTTTAAGCTCCCCAAGGCCCCTTTAAGCCCCCCCCAGGACCCCTTTAAGCTCCCCCAAGGTCCCTTTAAGCCCCCCCAGGACCCCTTTAAGCCCCCCCCCCCACGGCCCCTTTAAGCCCCCAGGACCCCTTTAAGCCCCCCAGGACCCCCAAGACCCCCACAAGCCCCCCCAGGCCCCCGTACCGTCGTCGTACTCCAGCACCTCGTCGTAGATGGGGGGGGCCATGCCGATGGCCTGGCCAGGGAAGTAGGGGTTGTAATGGAGCCCCTCCCTCAGAGAGACCCCAGCGGGGGCGTCACAGTACCCAGTGAGCAGGGCGAACACGTAATCCTCACCCCCGTGCCTGAAGGGATCAATAACGGATCAATAACTGATCAATAACGGATCAATAACGGGGTCACAGTACCCGGTGAGCAGGGCGAACACGTAATCCTCACCCCCGTGCCTGAAGGGATCAATAACTGATCAATAACTGATCAATAATGGATCAATAACGGATCAATAACAGGGTCACAGTACCCAGTGAGCAGGAGCGAACACGTAATCCTCACCCCCGTGCCTGAGGGGTTAATTACAGATCAATAATGGATCAATAATGGGGTCACAGTACCCGGTGAGCAGGGCAAACACGTAATCCTCGCCCCCGTGCCTGAAGGGATCAATAACTGATCAATAACAGATCAATAATGGCATCAATGGGGTCACAGTACCCTGTGAGCAGGGCGAACACGAAATCCTCACCCCTGTGCCTAAAGGGTTAATGGGATCAATAATGGATCAATAACGGCTCAATAATGGGGTCACAGTGCCCCGTGAGCAGGGTGAACACGAAATCCTCACCCCTGTGCCTAAAGGGTTAATGGGATCAATAATGGATCAATAACGGATCAATAACGGGGTCACAGTACC